CTATTATTCCTATTTTAGCCAATCAACCAAGCAGGGCAGGCTAAAAGAACAGGAGCTTTAATTTTATTAACAGCAGTCCTGTCACCTCAGGCAGATAGCATAAGTTTCTATCACCAGGTTAGTTGTCCCTTCCCTGCAGTTGTGTTTCATGGACACTTCTATGAGTTCTCAGATCATCACTACAGTCATACTAACAATTTGTATCAACTTACTCAGTTGTCAGAAAAAATGCTGCTATTTATGAGATAATTTCAAACAGCCGGTACAGCTCTGATGAGAGCTCAGGTTTATACTTAGCAGTACTGTCTGGAGTCATACAGTATTTAATCATGTAATGGTTCTGCTTTTCATCCCCACCAAGCCCACTTACACTCATAGTGGCTGTCATGACACACAACCTAAGAGCCTGACAGTTTGGGATATTATACTGTTTGTTATAATCCTAAAACCCAGACCTTATAAAGGTCTGCTGTAAAAATTTCACATATAGAGCTGAAAAAAGGTCTCATTTAAATCACTTCAAGCAGGTGCTTTCATTTGTTATTTCTAAAAGAAGAAATAGGAACAACAACAACAAAAAAAGCAAGAATAAATGTAACAGGCACTTAACAACAAAGTAAAACCCTTTTAGATATTTTAGATGAGAGGGAGCTATTCACCTCCTTTGCCTTTCACCTATAGGGAATTTAGACATGCAGCCCAGCTTAATAATTTGTGCTTTCTCCAGTCCTGAGGAAACAAAAGCTTCCTTCTGGAGGATGTCACACTTACCCCAAACAGGGCAAACGAGTCTCTCCAGATATGGCACAACCTCTGTAACCACAGGGAGACTTTAAGATTGCCTGCCACTTACACAGGTGAGGCAAGTCTCTCTCCAACTTCTCACATAAGCCATGAACATAAATCCTGATGGCTTCACTTGGTTCCTAGGTGGGCAAACTCACCAACTTCAGCAGGGCAAAGGCTTGCTTTTGTTTTTGGGAGCCTGAGAGGAAGGTGCATCAGCAGTCCAATCTCACATCAACACTGACCTGACTGCTTGTGCTAGCCACTCGGCCACGACGATTCATGCCCAGTTTGTCCACATACAACCACCGTTTGGATACACGGCATCACGTAACGCAGGCAAAGGGTGCAACGCGTTTTCCTAACATCCAGAGGTGAGCTGCAGTCTGCACCTTCCTCCCAGGGGCAGCACAGGGGAAGGTGCTGTTGTGGTGCTGACCTCCTCCCTCTGGTTATCAGCAATTGGGCATGAGGGGATGCAAGGAAGCTGCATCAAGGCAAGTTCAGATCAGACTTAGGAAAAGGTCCTGAGAGGGTGGTCGGTCACTGGTACAGGCTCCCTAAGGAAGTAGTCACAGCCCCAAGGGTGTCAGAGTTCAAGGAGCATCTGAATGATGCTCTTAGTCATACGGTGGACTAGGGGAAATGGTTTTAAACAGAAGGAGAGTAGGTTTAGACTAGATATTAGGAAGAAGTTCTTCAGTATGAAGGTGGAGACACTCTGGAATAAATTGGAGAGGCTGTGGATGCCCCCTCCCTGGAGGGGTTCAAGGCCAGGTTGGATGAGGCCTTGAGCAACCTGGTCTAGTTGAGAAGCATCCCTGCCCATGGCAAGGAGGTTAGATGATCTCTAGGTTCCCTTCCAACCTAAACCATTCTATGATTCTATGGTTTAATTTTAGGTAGTCCTGTGATGAGCGGGTAGTTGCATTAGATGATCCTTATGGGTCACTCCCAACTCAAGATATTCTATGATTCCAAGCTGAAGTAACTCGACATTCTCTTAGACACGAAACTATCTGTGCTGTGTCTTCATGGGTATGTATGCTATTTGACCACAGTTCTCCAAATTTCTGCTGAGACTACAGACGTTCAACCAGGACTAGAACTACTCTGTCAAGTAAGCATAGACCTTATACACACACACACTAAAGTTATACATCTTTACACACTGGCTAACACAGATAAAATAGTAAAGCCCACCCAGTAGGACAATTATTTATAGTCTATGGGATTGTTTACTTTGGAATACCTTCTTACAGCATGGAAAGGACAACAAGATATATTGTCAAATTGACCCTCATGTCAGTATAAAATTATTTTTTTAAAAAAAAAAAAAAATCTAAATATAACAAGTCCCTAGCATAGAGTTATTCTTGTTCAAAATTAATCAAGCAAATGCTACTGAAACACTACAAGGATTTTTGCATATAATTCCTTACAGGCAAGATTTGTTTTTTAAATAATCAAGAACAAGTTATATTTTTTAAAATAAGCAAACAGTTCTCAGTCTCTAACTCTGACAGCAAAGCTACCTTTCTATCCTTCCCTTACACTGCTGTGTTTCAGTATTTCTGGGTCTCCTGAGTTACAGGGCTATCACACGCAAGTGGATATGGTGCAGGCTACACTCCTGGCAACTCTGAGGTCTTTTTTTAAACCCTTCTCATCAGGTCAGATTCACATCCGAGTTGCATGCCAACAGCCGTGCCATATATTTGGTCAGTATTACAGAACAGGATGAAAGAACACAGCCAACATCCACCTTCCAAAGCACGTTCCACAAAACAAACCAAACAGCTCCTGATACGCAGGAGATGTTGGTCCCGTCTACTCAGAAAAACAGCTGGAATTTATTCCCTGTTTTGGAAGGCAGCCGTAAACTGTGTGGCCACAACCTGGATGCCTCGGTGCCCAGGGCTTCCAGCTGCTGGCCTCCAGACACACAGCAGTAGAGAGCACACTGCAAAGCCAGGAACGTGACATGGGCACCAAGGCAGGACTGAGCATGACATGGTGTCAACTTCCTCTCAAAAAGATGGCATTTCCCATCCTCCACAAAGGCATTTCTTCCCTGACAGCTCGCCTTGGCCTCTGTCTGGCCTCCCCTCTCTGTCAGGAAACCACTTGCAACCTTCTCAGCTACACAACCTGGTCCTTAACCAAGAAGCCTCAAGCTCCTTCACTTCACAGGGAGGAATCACCACGACGCAAAGCCCTGGTATCCATTTTGGAGAAACACTACAATTCATGGAGGATCCAGGACAACCAGCTGAGCAAGATTGTGCCTAAGTAGGCACTGTTACTCAATTAGCTGAATTGGCTGACGGTTTTCCCATTGTAACACAATTTTTCTATTCAAGTATTATTTTTAGTTTAAAAAAAATAAAATTTGTGGGGATGGGTGGATTTTTTTTTGTGCAAAACTTGATGCTTTTAATGAAAAAAAGGTTGCTTTTCTCAATATTTTGCTGTTTATTTCTGTTGGGAAAACTTGAAACACATCGGTTTTGTCAGAAAAATATCAGTCTGTGTCTGTCCGAATTCCTCAAGTGTCAGCTGGGAGCTGTAATTCACAGGCTCCATGTCCCCCTCTTTCCCAGAAGGCTGGGCTCCTGGGCACCCCTCCAGCCTTTATGACGCATTACCCCTTTGACTAACCCCCAGCAAGAGCATCATGGGATTTGTAACTCAGCCAAGAACCTTGGCCCCAAGGGAGACAAGGCACACAAGGCACTTCAACGGTAATTTCTGAGGTCTGCAGCAGTAGCTCAAACTGATGCTGCTTTAAGGGCCAAATGGATTTAATTAATGTTTCCATTTCAAAAAGTTATTTTATTTTGCATTTTCCAGCTGACAGTTTCTCATTTTTTGAAAAATTTCCATTCCAGGAAATTTTTGGATATTTCAGACTTCCATCTCAATTCAGGATGAAATTTAATGTTCAGGTATCAAAATTTGATGCTATATGGACAGTCAGTTTGGGAAACAGCCTTATTAATTAGCTGCCAAAATTGAAATGACTATCTTTTCAAGAAGGGTGTGATTCAGTTTGCCTTTGACATCAGTGGAAGCCACTTTTTCAGCTTAACGTAGCCTGGATCACATCCCAAAAGACCAAGGGAGGGTGGAGTTGACCATAGTTGCAGATACTGGAAACAGGGGTCAAAAGTGAAATAGCAAGAATCTAAGAAGCAGCAACTAAGAGGATTTGTTACCTGAAGTACCAACTCAGTTTTTCTTGAAGTAAGTAACAGGAGGAAAAATCATTAAGAACATAAGACCTAACTCCCAGCTACATTAAAGATAGCAGTTAACACTTTGTAGAATAGAATAAATCCATAGTATGCATTTGTCATAAGCTCTATAACTCAGTATTCAAAACTTTTCCTCAGAAAACCTCCTTACATTCCATTCAGGGAAACTACTGTAAAGCTACAGATATAATGTGGTACTGAACATCTTGCCTCAGGTTGTCTGTCCTTCCTTAAACCCTGCAAAATTGTTCTGTTGGATATGGATGTTGGAAGCTCTGTCAGGAGGAACCAAGGTCTCTGGACTTTGAGCACATCTCTAGATGGAGAACAGCTAACAGTGGGTTGACACTCTGGGGGAGGACTGGGCACCAAATCCACTGTCTGCATTGCCCAGTCTGGTTTTGGATGTAGTCAAATCCACTGTCTGCATTGCCCAGTCTGGTTTTGGATGTAGTCCTAAGCCTTCCACCTCAAAGAGTAAAAGAGGGGTGCCAGGGAGCCTATGTCCACCAGCAACAGGGTGTGTGTTGAAAGCAAGAAAGCACTCAGAACAGCAAATAAAACAATTCACCCAACCATGAGGGGCCTAGAGAATTGGGTTTTGTTTATCTTTCATTTCCCTTTAGTACAAGGCAGATGTTTCTAAGTAATAAGCAGAAACTTCGACAATTTTTAAGACTGTAGAGGAAGGGAGGGAGGAAGAAACTTGTACAAGCTTTGAGGATATTCTCAGCTCCAGCTCCAAAAAAAAAAAAAGAAAAACCAACCCAAAAAACCAAAACTACACACCAGAAAAAGTGTATATCTGTAAAAGCAAGTTTCTCCTTAAGCTGTTTGGTAATTCTTTGTTCAGAGGAGTATTTTATCCAGAAGGTTCTTCATGTTTCCAGTCTAGGTTGTAGCAATCTCACTGAGGCACTAAATTTTAGGTTGTTAAAGTCTTTCTGTGCAGCACGGTCATTTTAAAATGATGTGGTAGCCATCATTGCTTTCAGCTGTAACAAAGAAATACAGAGCATTTTTTCAATGCTTTTAGAAAACAACACAGATACAGAACTTCAGATTTTCTTCTTATGCAGTTTGCAATAGTTTGTAATCCTGTTCCATAATTCACTCGTGAAAATCCATGTTGAACATATGACTTCTCAAAGGGAGAAAATGGTCAAACCATTTGATAAAAAAAAAAAAAAACACAACATATTAACTGTCATCTTTTATCATTTTACTAGAAGATATTCTGCTCATTTATGTCTGTGGTATCAATGGATTTATAGATTCAATGGATTTATGAAACTTCTATAACATGCTATGAAAGCATAGATCCATATCTACTGTAGTATAAGCTGATACAACACCTTGACTTACATTAAATTAGATTACTTATCTTTTCAGGATAGCAGCGCTGGGTTTGTGAAAACATTTAGTGCAATTGAAAGGAGAAATTAATAGCAGCACCACCAATACATACCTTTTAATGTGCTGATAACAAAACAAGATTCGTCTTGGAAGTTTTGCACCATCTGAGAGACAGAAGGAAAAAAGCGACCAAAATATTTTTAGCAATTAAATTCAAGTTTCTTCCAGTACCAGTGTAGACTTTAGAGAACAGGTATCAAATAACGTTTGGTGTCTAGTCCTACAAAGTCCTGAGTAACCCTGCCTATATGATTTTTAAAGTATATGACTGATTAATTAAGGTCCTTGCAGCTCCTAATGTTCTTAAGAGAAGCTCATACTGAAGTGCTTGCCTGGAACTGATCTAGCTTCTTCAGCATTTTACAATCCTCTCTGCAGCTCTTGCTCCTGCAAGTTCTTACACTGCTCCAGTTAGTCTTTTAGAGACTGTGCTCTTAATTGCCTTCAGTGAAACTCTACCCGTTTAGACTGGATGAAGGTGGTCCCTCTCCTAGAATCTACCAATGCTAATACCCATTCAGCAGAATGATGAAGCTCTGTTGAACTTGCATTAGAATCTGAAATATTATCTAGAGATGGTGAGCCCTGAAAAATGGAATCCTCACTGAATAAAGGCATATTCCTACTGAAAAGGCATCTCAGCAGCATCTACTTGCTTTTTTGATTAGACTTTAGTATAGATGCTGTGCTCACAGGAATCATTTACCTGTCTGTATTTTGTCAGGGCACAGGAATCTTAATGAAACTGCTGTGAGAGACAAGGCAGTTCATGGGAGACAAGATTAGTATCTAAAGCTATTTGAGTTATACACGAGAAAGAATTAGATTTTCAGAAAGTGTGCAGGTTCTCGTGAGGCCCTTAACTAAAACAGTGACTCAAGAGATCCAGCTGACTTCAGATCCAATCTGAAATGCTCATTTAAGCTTCATCCTTAGTGAATAGCTCCTCCCATCTCAGAGTAGCTATGGGAGAGAGGAGGTGAATTACCTTCAGAAGGTGTTTCTTACAGTTGAAGCAGATGCTGGATATCTAGCTTCAGACAGGAGGTGATCAGAACCTCTGATCAGCTCAGAAAGATCTCTCTTTAAGCAAAAGCTTTCTCCTAGCTGTTGAATATCTTTTGAGTAGATCATTTTCCAGCTGTAAGTTCTCACGCCAAATATCCTTTTCAACTTAGACTAACGTCCCTATTCTCTTTTGGGTTTAACATCCACCCCCTGGCTCCTGCAAATCAAGTTTTCCTGGCTAATCTGTGTGTCTGTGCCTAATGATGCATGAAGTACATTCACAGAGTGCCTCGCTCTTGCATACTATAGTACTAAAACAAGAAAAAAAAAAATTAAAAAGCAATAAATGTTGTTAATCATTGACTTAAATAAATACTTAAAGCCTTATACCCAAGCTGGTTCAGGCAATTCTGCTACCAAGAGTTGCCTCCAAGCACTTTACATCCATAAAGCATCAAAGTTTCAGATTTAATCAGGCTGAAATAGCAAGGAGACTTTAGGAATAAGCATTGCAGCCTTCAGTTCGGGCTCCAGTTGAGACCTGTGCTCTGCTTCATTTGTTTTAACAGTGTTTCTTATACATGAAACTCCTTAAGTGATTCTGGTGCATGAATGAGTAAGTAATTTAGCAGGGGGAAAAGAGGAAGAAGGGCAACTCACTATTAACCTGCAAGTTAATGGAATGGACCAAACAAAGGCATCATATAATGGGATACAAACATCTAGCAGAGGTCCTTTGAATTATAGTGTGCACTTACACAGCACTCACTCTGACCCAGTGACTGTGACCACGATTAGGACTAATGGCCCTACAGATTGTCAAATTTGCCTTCTTTATTGAGCTTTCTTATTTAATTTTAAAGACTGTCACTTCAGATCCTCACTTCAAAATTTAGACAGCCAACCTAAAAAGGAAGTGACTGTATTTGGTTTTTTTTGTTGTTGTGTTTGGGTTTTTGTTTGTTTGTTTGTTTGTTTGTTTGTTTTTCCCAAAAAAAGGCTCTTTTACAAAGCAAAGTAAATCACACCTCAATGGTATGCACGGATGACTTGCTTTAACTTGTTGACATTAGTAACCTTGCAAAGCTCTCTTGAAGATTCTTTCTGTAATTTAAATGGTGTCTGACAACTGTTACAGCTCTGACAGAGTTTGCATTAAGCCCTTACCTCGTTGCTCACTAATACATGGATCCCTGTGGGTCCCTGCCGATAGATTCGATTTATCTGCTGTGGAGAAACGCTGTACAAGTTTGCAATCTTCTCCATTAATTCCAGAGTGGTCAATTCTTCCAAGAAGATTGCATGATACACTGCAACAAGTTGAAAGTAATTACAAAATTACAAAGTAATTATAAAGCAGTAAATAACACCAAGATGCTCAATGTCAACAACCAAGTGGGTTTAAGATCAAAGTTAAAATTTTGACAGTAGACAAACAAGCTTAGTACCTTTAAAGTAGTCTCTAAATATCCAGCTTGACGATTTGTAGAAAAATACCCAGTATTTGGATGCAGTGGGCAACTAAACCACATGTCACTTTTGCCCAGAGGAAAACACAGGAACTAATGACAACATGTATCATGGGGCACTAAAAACTCTCAAATATTTTAATATTTTTGGATAATCTACTTTTATTCATCTTAACATTTTAAAGTAGATCCAATTAAACAGTAGAACATACTACATTACACAGAAGTAGTAATTTATTAGCTGTTATTCCACTGATCCCATAGGTACAAACTACAGACTACATTGTATCAAATAATTATAGGTGACGGTATTATTTTTTAGATCAAATCCAAATAGTAGAAACAACGAGATAAAGCTGTGCCTGGTTAATACTATGTGCAAGAACTAAGGACAATCTTTAGTCTCATTTGATCATACATCATGTCATGAGCAATAGTTAAGAGCAATGAGTCTCCAAAAGCTTTGAACTTCCAAGAATTAGAACCTCACTTTAAGAAATACTAACCTTCCATTTCCCAGAATATTTTTTTAAAAAACCATAATCTAAAACAAATTTGGGATAGGAAGATAGTTTTTAATGCTATGGCTCCTATTGAGAACTGAACAGAGATTTTGCTGTGGCATTTTGCAGGTAGCTTATAAGTCAAGTCTGTCCCCAGGTAGAGAGTACCAGCTGGAATCTGTAAACTGACCAAAGCAGCAGAGCTGGGATAAACAAGACCTCTTAAAACACTGAAGACAAGCTGTCCCACCCCACAACAGAGCTCAGAGCATTCTCACCAGGTAAGTGTATTACAAAATCCATATGTAAAAACTTACCACAAAGACTGCCATCTCCATTTTCTCGTTTTTGGTGGAGATGGGACCTATTTTGTTCTGGTTCTTGACAGACATAAATTGTCATCTTGGGCCTTACATTTCTATGGATTATTAAAAAACAGCAGTGAGTTATTTAGTAGATCTAAAATTGTTCCAGTCAGCTACCAAACAATGAGAGATGGAATCATTCAGGCTGTGCATAAATAGTCAGTTAAGGGATAGTCTTGATGATGGTGACTAGATGTCTTAGGAGGTCTAGTAAGAGTCCCCTGGGAGGTGGTGGTACAGTGCAGAGGACCTTAGTCTCTTCAGGATCAGATAAGAAATAGCAGTTTACAGAACTCTCCAAGCAGCTCATCATACATGCCTTTACTGTTTTGAATGTTGTCCAGCTGTAGAATTTATGGTGTTATTGCAATAGAAATAATTTTAAGAGTCATTTGAGGCTCCAGGGGTTGGTTGGTTGTTTTGCTGTTTGTTACTTATGATCTACAGGATATTGTAAGGCTGTGTCTCACATGAAGTAGATGGAAGCTATTAGCTCGTAGCAAATACCACTGAAGATCCACATTAGGCCAATTCATTTCAGCAACATTTCTGAGCTGTGCTTGGGATTTAAATATCACTGGGATCTTCAGGCTCTGAGATGACCTCTCTGAAGTGTTAAAAAATTCTAAATGCTACAGCTCCAGGATTAAATTGTAGTTAACACTGAAATTACCAAGGGAAGCTGCCATAACAACCACAGAAAACTAGAAAGTAGTACAAACCTTCCTTTGATTGCATTAAAGAGACGAATTCCATCTGCAGGTCCACAGATTTGAACGAAATCTTCTTTGGACATCTTCAGTAAGTCAGCACCTACATATATCAAATTGATTTTTTTTTTTTTTTTTCAGAAGTTAAGCAAATCTTATCTTCCAGATTGTGTGCATAGTCAGAAGGAAAGGGCAGGGGGAAAAAATCCCAAGCTAAATCAGACAGGTTTGCCTAGAGAAGCTGCAAATTCAGGCTGCAAATCAATCATTATGAGGCAGAGAGCTAGAAGCTGCCAAAAGAGTAGTGCTGCACTGGAAGACACTCTAGCCAAAACAGAGACAAGCTAGATATTTAACGTTGGCCATTGAATGGCCCAGTCTTCTCTAACTGCCATGTTCCCCTGATCATTTACTTGTGTTGCAAGTCAGGGAGAGGCTCCTCAAGGTTTCAACATCTTTATCAATTCCCTTTCCACCATCTTACTCCTATGTACAACCAGCTAATGGGAGGGTACAGTGAAGATGGAGCCAGACTCTTGTCAGTGGTACACAGGGACAGGATGAGAGGCAGCAGACAGGAGATGGGACACACCAATTAGGCGTAACGAAAGCTTTCACTGTGAGAGTAGTCAAGTGTATTTGAAGAGGTTACTTAGAGAGATTGTGGAACATCCCACCTTGTAGATACTCAAATACAACTGCAAAAGGTCCTGGACTTCCTTCAAGCAGGCGTTTGCACCTAATGAACTTGAGGAGTCCTTTCCGTCTTTACTTATTCTCTTCCATCTTATTTATTCTATATTTCTACAAACTGTTTTGGCAAATGCTAAGTAATTTAAGAACAAAAGAACAACCACACTGGGTCAGACCAGTGATCCCAAAAACAGTGGCCAGCAGCAGATGCTACTGACATGAAGGATGAACTGCACTTACAAAAGAGAATATAGACAAAACGATTGGATGGTTTAAACTCACCCGAAAAACTTGAGAAGAGTCTACAGAATGGAGAGAACCTATTACGATGAAGCCACTGCTGGGCATCTTGAATAGAAGCAGAAGGGAGGAGATGCTACATTGCAAAAAGAATAAGAAGGTCTTGAAATGAACTGTTCACCAGTGTCCTAAAAAAAGAAAAGCACCACATTAACATGATCTCAAGTACTTACATCATTGCTGGGAGGCAGGAGCTCCACTTGGTGGGTTGGAGAACTGTTGCTAAAGAAAAATTATATAAAGTTGGAAGAGAAAAAAAAATATTATTTTAAATTTTATATTGCAGTGACCATCCTCTTCCCCCTCCTCCATTTGATTCAACTGTCACAAGCTACATATAAACTTGGTGTTTTTCTCTGTCAGATTTTAAAAAGGTACCCAAAAGCCAGACTAAGAAAAGGAAAAAAATTAAAATCTCTACTTGAGCCTTTTGTTGGTCAGTTGAGCTTCTCAACACAGAAAAACCTCAGTTTACTGACCTTATTCAAGCTTTTCCATGTGGGTGAGTCACTACTGTGACACCATGTAAGCAAGGAAATTACGACCTACAGGGTGACTGAACCCAAAACTCCCACAAGCCAGAAATCCCTTAACTAAACCCTCTGTCTATAATGATTCTTCATAAAAAGCGAATAAAGGAACTTATAATTCAACCCTGGTGTTATCTTAAACATAATACATTGCAATTTAACTCTATCACACAAAACCACATTTCTACCAAACCCTCCTAAAACATAGACTGGACTTCAAGACATCAAGGATTTTTTCAAATAGTTAATAATCTACCAATGGAAGAAAATGCTCAGATTTCTCTTCTAACACTAATTTGTCATTTCAGTGTTTGTCCTTATTCATAAGCTGAGGTTGCTCACTGAAAATTTGTGCTACAACACCAATTAATTAATAAGGTGTGTGGGAAGGCAGCAAGGCTGCAGAGTCCTAGGGGAGGAAAAGAAAGGCCTGCACCAAATTTCTAGGGGAAAGTATGTCACAGGGGGGACTCAGAAGTATTGAGGGACCCTGATGTATATTTCTGTCATCAGTTACCATCTTGGGTGTTTCAGGACCACTAAAACTGTTTCTTTATATCAGCTATATTAATGCATTAAACATGCCTCCTGTCAGTCCACTGTTCTGGTATGACTTCTCAAAACACAGGCTGTTTAGCCCCAGACAGGATTCTTTACATCCCACTCAACTGGGAATTCAGCCCCTCAAACCACTTTAAGACAGAAAGGAAGGGGTGCTGAAGACTGAAAACCTCTAACGCTCTTGTCAGAAGGCATTGGGAATCACCAGTACATGGCATGGTATTTTCTCTGACCCCCACAGAAGGGAAAGAGAAGAAATTCATAGCAGGAATTGCCCTGTTGGTCCTTTGATGCCCACCTTCCAGCTGCTGCATAAGTGGTGGACACAAACTGTACTCTGCATTAAAGAGAATTCCTGGATGGAATGTCTTAAAAGGGAACTATTTTCCCCTTTCTAGGAAAGGTAGTCTTTGTTCTCTTGTTCCAGTGTATGAAATGGGTGGACACACAAAGCACATGCACAAAAGGTTACCATATTGACAGGAAAGATGAAGCATTTATTTGTTACATACCCATCTCCAAGGTTGAAGCTGTTGGGAGAACTGTTGTAGCTTGGAGATGGAGCATTGTTCATTTGATAAGGCACATCTGGCCAGGGAGAGCACTGTTGGAAGAAAGGCAGCAGGGATACTTTCATAAGGATGGAAATGAAGGATTTTATTCTCCTTTCATACCACATTCATGCTGTTACCACGCCACTAACTTCAGCTCATCACTCCTGCTGGGAGGACGAGACGGGCCATGGATTTTCTACACTGCTCTCCAAGCAGGCTGTCAGGGGGCCAGATTGATTCCAGTTGTGCATTCCACATTTCTCCCATTTCACAAAGCCTGTCCCCAAATAACACTGGGCCAAAGTGTGCACAGCTGTAAGTCAGAGCAACGCCAGTAAGTCAACTCAGACTGAAGGCAGCAATGATACAGAAATACCTCTGGTCTCAATTATAAATCCCTAATTAAATGCAGGCAAGAGTGACAAATATGCTCCAGTGGCATTGCTTCAGGTTTATACCAGCAAAAGAGCAAAATTTTAACCAGCCTGCTAAAACCTCTGGCTATTAGTTGAAGAGCTTGAGTTATAAATGGGTATTATATGGAGAAGATTTAAGACAGACAAAACTACTAAAAGCCTTCACAAATATAGGTCACTATCCATATTCCATTACAGTAGTGTAAAACCAGAGTAACCCAGCTAGAATTGGTGACTCTGCTCTGAATTTAAGCCACTGTAATCAGTAGGAGAAATCCAGCTCCATGCAACTGCCTGCCATCAAGAGCTCAAAAAAAATGCTCTGTAGTATCCTTGTTTGCAATGATAAAAAGAAGACAAGTGTAGCTTTGGAGTTTTATCATCTACACAAATACTAGCAAATATTTTATCATCACCACAAGCACTAGCAAATATTTAACTCTTTGGCAACCCGCATTTCCCTGTGCAATATGTCAAAGTGCATCAGAGCTCATATAGAGTCTGGGATCTGCCAACTCAGTAGAATTAGTTCTGTGTACACGAGACCCTCGTTTACAACCGCCACGTTGAATTACAAAACATGCTGGTTGCTCTTGGCAGTGTGAGCAAAACTGAGTGGGAGGGACTGGATCTCACAAACAGGAAGTTTATTTAAATAAAGGAAAAAAAAAACTCCTTTTTAGTAGTGTAGCAAGCCAATTAAAAAAAAAAAAAATCAAGAATTAAATCAAATAGAAGGCATTCCCACCGGGAGATGGAACAGCACTTTTAAACCACCGTCTTGAGTTCTGCTGCTCAGTAATTCCATAGCCTGGGGTAAACTGATATACTTGTTAGTAATGGCAGGGATGGGTACAAACACACACCCCTCTACACCACACCTATCAGAATATAGGACATTCAAGATATTCCTAGAGTACAAGCCAGAATCTTCTGAGATCCTGTATGTAATAGCAGTTTCATATGCACATTCACAGAAACCAGATTAATAATTTCATCAGGCAGCCTATTCATCTGTTCAAGTGCCCCATCTCCAACATGAGCTTTAGCCAGACAGTCCTGAAGAAAATACTGCATACAACTGGCATCTAAGTACCATGACAAGTGCCTGGAAGCATGGCAGAAGTGAGAGAAAACACTTCTTTTAAAGCTAGGCTGTTAAGGGTTGGTTTACATAAGAAACAATCTTCAAAAGCAAAAGACATTTTGTAATTTCACTCCCTCTCAGTTTCAATCATATCTGGGCATACATGTCTCCACAAGACAATCCCCAGGCCTCAGTTATTTTCTCTCAAATCTGTCTTCCAATGTACTGAAGTAGTATGACGTGTCTAAAGCACTTTACCTCTGTGAGAATAGTTGTCTCATAGGAAGGCTGATACTTCTCTTTCTCTTGGGTGGTCTTCTTCTCCATTTTTTCCCTGTCAGTCTTCTGTTTTCTGTCTGCTCCTTTAGGCTATAAGCACAAGCACAAGCTTTCCCTTATGCCAAGTATTACAAGTTTGGAGAAAGAGGCCAACAGATTTATTTTTTCTTTTGTAATCTGTTCACAAAAGTCTCCTTCAGGTTTATGGGGAATCTACATATACAACAAGATCAGATGTTTTTTTTCTACACAAAGAAATTTCCAGACAAAGCCTACTGCAATTCCAAAGTAGGCTGACCAGTCCTGAGATTTTATATCAGCGATTTCAGATCATGAGCCCCATGAGTTGTGCACCTGAACTGGTGTCTGTACCATCTCTCCAGGAGCAGGAAAGACACTGCTCACAGGAGCAAAACTGGAGCAGCAGATCCTTTAAGAAAACAAACCTGTGAAAAGCATGTTATGTGGCTACAGGTCTGCCATGCCCAGATTAGGAGCTTCAGAGCTGCTTTCTCTCTGAATTTCTCTCCACCAGGTAGCATGGAGAGCAACTCTGCTGCAACAAGCAAAGGGCATTTAAGATCATCAAGATCTACTCTCATTGTTCATGGAGCATTGAATCAAAGAAATGGGAGATGCCATAAAGTCTTGATAGCCTAGGTGCAATAAAATATACCTAAATGGATACCCTATATATCTCAGCATTACTAGAGTGTTCAATACACAGTGGACTGACATAAGTCTTGGTGCAGCACTTGGGTCATTTGAATTTAACTAGAGTTGCTGTGTAGTTAAGTGTTTATGTCACTTTACTTGCTAATGTCCCATTTGAGATCCTAGGCATACTCAGTTAAAAGTCTGTTCTACTCTGCTATCTGCACCACTTCTACACAGTTTAAAAAACTGTGCATGTTCCTGTATCTTAATCTAGCTGATGACAAAGCCAAAACTCCCTCATACCTTGAACACTTTGATCTGGCAGCTTGCAGAATGCAAGTGTTCTGTGTATTCACCATTTTCATTCTGCTTAAAGGTGTCGATCTGCACACGGAAGGGCACTCCTTTCTCTCCTCCGTGTTTCCGTGGAGTAAATTCTGTGCTGATGCAATGTACCTGGTAAAACAAAAGCTGTGCTTGTCTCTGGAGACCTGTGCAAAGCTTTAGAAATCTGAATTTCAGATTTTGTCAGAACAGGAGGTTTCGGCTCCCGCTGAGAAACTAAGAGAGGCAGAAGAGTACATTTTCATTTCTGTTCCTCAGGACAAGACAATTAGAAGAACAAGCAGCCCGAAAAGAAACAGGGCATCAGGAAAAGCATCCTTTGTAAGATGAATCCCACATACAGATTAAAAACAGATAGTTGGCATTTGGGATGAGAAACTCATGAAAGAGGAAAGCAAGCAAAACAGGCTGTGAACAGTTTCCTCTAGACAAAACCCATGCTTAGAAAGCAACATTTTTTTTTTTTTTTTTTTTAGAAACCCCTAGCTGTAGCAGGTCATACTCAAAGCTAGCAAAGTAGTTAGCAAGTATCCTGCAAATTAATTATACATGAGTGTCACTAGAGTTTATGTATTACCATTTGCATCTTTTTCTCTTCTTCGTTTCCTGGGTACCCTAACCCTTCATGTCTTTATAAGATCTCTTACCATTGTATTTACCACAGGAATATAATTTCTCTTACCTGAATGAATGCTGAGGCTCTCTTTGATGGATCCCAAAGAAATTCAACAGTGTTCAATTGGGTTGGGCTGGCCCTGGGATCCAAGATACCAACTGACAGCGGAATATCTGTAGAAGAAAACCCCTAAAATTTTAAAAATATTAAATTGAAGAACAGAAAGCATTTCTATACAATTACAAGATGCACGTGAAAAGCCACACCACCAATGATGTATCTATGTGGACCTACAGTGCTAGATCTCCTTCCCACCCAAAGACATACAGGATTCCTAAGAGAGTAGATACACAAAAGCTAAACACACACACACACACACACTCTCCATACGTCCCCCAGCATGTCACTGCCAAGCACTGCACAGGAACTGTCCTGCAATGGTCTCACCTATGTCAAGGATGCGGTCCCCAGGCCGACTCCACCTCCAGCCCTCCAGCTGCTGATGCTCGGTGTACTGCAGGCGCCGATCATGGAAAACTACACGAATTATGCTCTGTTAAGAAAAGACAGCAAGATAAACAACATGATCCAGAGGCCCTTCTCTTGAGATGACTTTGGTTTTCCAGCGTAGAAGTCAAAGCTGGTCCTGTTATGTTTCTCACCCCCATTCATGAGGAGAGTAGAGGGTCCACCTAAGAGACCCATCAACACGTTTATCGAGTTCCTAAGGGACTCCTGAATGAGATAGCAACACACTTTGCCCTTCACAGGGCACATCTAGCCTGCACAATGCAGCCCTTCACAGCTTTCTGGGATTCAGTCTGGAAGCACTATAGCAATGTCCATCTAATCTTGGGTGTCGAGCTGTGCAAACATCACTATACTGCCTCCACACTGAAAAGAGCTCACACAGGGGTAATATTAATGTGTCTGTACAGTGCCCCAACCCCAGTGTATCCCAGTCTGAATAGCAAATGTGAAAGCCAGCTCACCTGTCCCTGCACCAGTGGAGCTGACATGCCCAGACATCTTGTCAGTGGGGAATTAAACTTGATTCCAGCCATTAACAGCCAGTCCTTAGATTTGCCCCAGTGTAGTTAAACAAGTGTGGAATAAGAAATCTTCTGTAGCAGAAGAACTTTCATCTCTGGTCTGCAATGGTGCAGCCATCAATAACTGGAGAAAAAAGGCTGGAATAAGGGCAATCCCTAGGGCAGACAAGTCCAAAGTTCGCCTAACATATCTCTTTTGTATATTCAGAGTCCTACACTTGCATAAGTTAATGACCCCCTACATGCCAGTTTCTCAAGTCTATGCTCTTGCTGGGGACTTCTGTATCAAGTGAGTGAGCACTTTTTGCCAGTGACCCTGAGAAACACCCAAATCAAACCCTAGCTCTAAGAAGCAAGTAAGTCACAGTGGGAACATCTGCAAAATTGGAATCCCGATCCACATGCTTCCTGAAATGGTCCAAAAGACAAATAGGGAACAGTCTAACCTGGACAGCATTTGAAATCCAGATTGGGATCCAAATTTTGCAACTAGTCTCCATTTCTCAAAAGAAATCCTAAAGGCAGAACAGCCAACAATTGGGGAGAGGAAGGCTTGAAAGTTGCATGCAGAACAAGGGTCCTGACCAAAGTTTTTGAATTTGAACTGTTTTGGAAGGGGGGAAACAATAAAAAAATATCCCCCAAACCACACAACGAAGTTCTGTATGTTCATAATTAGACCCATTACCAAAGTAAACTGGAGTTACGCAGAATATGCATGGCAGAATGGTGAAAACACCAGGGCCCTCCGTTTGACATATAACAACCCAGGAGTGTTGCTGGGGTTAAGAATGGAGACAAGTCTGCCTCTCAGAAGTTTTGACCATGTTCATCTCTGAGCTTTGGGATTCCCCTGAACCCAACATTCACAGTGAAACTCTGGGGTCATGATCTCAAATAGAATAAAGGTTCCCCAGAAGCCAAGTAAAGCCAATTTGCATAGTCCCATGAAACTAGCACTCAGCTCCATCAGCTCTGCTCCCATTAAAAACAATGGCAAAGCATTTTCCATTGTCTCAGCGTGAGCAGAGTCAGGCCCTTCATTAAAGGCTGTATGCAGTAGCAGGAAGAAAAGAAATCTATATTTCTCCTTACCTTTACATATTTTGTGTTTAAATCTTGAAACTCTCCCAATTTCCTATTCTCAAGTAGACGGATTTCATAAGACTGACCTAGAGTTTAAGGAAACATTTCCAAGGTGTTTAATATGTTGTAGCAATGAGAGAGTCATGCTGGCATTTACGTGGCTAATAAAGCATAAGTTTGATCAGGGAAAGCTCATTTTTGGTAACATAATGCATTTGCCCCAGTAATCAACTAGGCAGTAAAGCACAGCAGAAATCTGAGGGGAAGGTTTGCCTTTTGGCAGCCCAAAACTGCTCAGCTTGGGCATTGTTCATATCCTGCCTCCCAGGGCTGCCACAGTTTTCTGGTCACCCTTCAGAAAGTCACCAAGGTGTTCAAGGCAGTTGTCCCCCCATGTCACTTGGCTGTAACAGCATTGTCTTTGCCTGTCCCTTCTGTTGAAGCAATGGCTGTGTGAGGAGCTGCTGGCACAGCAGGTCTAGGCACTATTCTGCAGAGGACAGCAGCTTTAGCAAAAGCTTGCCTCCTTCAGGAAGCAGTCAGGCTTGTAAGTTGTTTCAGTGAACAAGAAATACAAGATTTGTTCCATAAGGCCTTGAACAGGGCTGCCCAGGGCATAAATGCTCCTCCAGACAAGCATGCGGAAGCAGCAAAGGGTATTACAGCACGTGCAAGGACCAGTTTCAGGAAGAGAATTCATACTCCAGCACTCCATTACCACCACACTCAGCACAGGGAATTTAGCCAGTTCAGTAGAATTCAGCTAACTGGTTTATGAAATAACATCTCCCTCCAAGGCTGACAGCAGACAAAGGAGACTGATGTCTCAATACCTTCTGCACAAGCGGCTAAGACAGCACAAAAAGCTCGTTGTATAGGACCAACCCTTTACTATAAGCCTACAGCTTGTACTGAGGCAGAACAGGGTCATGAGGATTAATGGAGTATAAGTGTACTTTCTACCCAGTTTTTCTTGTTCATCTTGCTGTCCTCCTTTCTACTAAAAAAAATGTAGAAGGCAGGCACCAAGAAGATCAGTTTGGGTTTCCTGGCTTTAACCAGTATCTCTGCCAAACTGCCCCTGCAAAAACCTGCAAAGCAGATACGTCTCCCTCTAAGTAGTTGCCACCAGCAGAGATGAAAGAATACTACATCTCTCAATCTGGATCTATAAATAGAAGACTTATGACAGCAGATATGTCAGAAGGGCACCATGTTTCAGGCAGATGCCCTTTTGGGAATCCCAGCTCTTTCAGTTGCCCACATGAGTACAGATCATACTGCCAGAGCACAGCAATCACTGTGCTTATTCAGTTCATTAGCAGGAGAAAAAAAAAAAAAAAAGGATGAGGGGCCATATTGAAAGCACAAATGTTTGCACAACACTCCTACTGATGTCAATAGGAGTTCTGCAAACAGGAAATGACCCTTGAATCCATCAAGTGGCTGAGGGCATGGGGAGAGGGGAGAACAAGCCATACACAGTACCAAATTAAGCAGTAGAAACATGCACAGATCTTAACCCTTCCCTTTGCACATAAAGATACCAAAATGACAACAGTGACCTTCCTTTGAAGACTGCTGGCCAACAAAAGTCTTGAAATCAAGGTCTTCCAACTTATTTACATTGGAAAAGACCCTTAAGTTCATCCAGTCCAACCGTTAACCCAGCACCACCCAAGTCCACCAGTAAACTATGTCACATCTCTGTTGTAGTATGTACCTGTGTGTATGTTGCACCCATGCATCTGTTTTGTACAAAGCACTTGGCTGCTCAGTGGCTCACCAACCACTGGTTGGTGAGATCAGTAGATTTCACCAACCATGGAGCGACGAATTTCACTGCCTCAAACAAGTTTGCACTGCCAAGCATCTGCTGCACTTACAGTTCATCCCCATGCAAAGATGAAGCTGATTAATCATTACCAAAAATTAATTTAGAATTTGAGACCATGAGCATCCAAGAGACAGTAAACTACAGCTATGACTGTACTCAGTTGGGGTAATAGGGAGAGAGAAATTAAGTGGCATGTGCTGTGCTGTAGAGAAAGGCAATGGTAGAACCAGAAGCACTGTCAGCCATTCAGTGAGGACCAGTAGGGGTATTTTAAACACCTTTGTGCACTGATAAACTACTCTTTGGTTGGCATCATTTCCTTGATTGTAGTTTCAACGAGACAAAAGAAAATAACAGGCATAAAACCATCAGCCATGTTGCCTTCAAACCAGCACCAAGCACTCAAAAAACTCTGCAGCAGGCATCTTCCAACCACTTGCATGGGATAGGAACAATGCTGCAACCTGTCAGTGGGCACTGCACATCTGATGAGAATGATTCAGCTTGGATGGAGTTAGAAGATTCTGCCCACGTGTAAAAAAAGAAACTATAGTGGAGATAGAGTTAATATTAAATGGAAAGCCAAAGAGGAAATAAAATGCTTTGATGCAAAATATATATAGGTCATCTGATGTAAGCCCTGGAACTCAGTTTACGCCACGAAAAACCTCAATTAAAATGTTATTTTATGCTAACTGCTTTCCCCTTGACCTCTAAATGTTCCACTCCAGTTACTACACAGAACTGTTATCAAAACAAGACTGCACCCAGCCCAGCTTCAGAAAATATGCAGTTTATTTCTCTCTCTGTGGAACTCTGTGAGAATTTGGTCCTAATTCCTCACAACTCCTTCATGTATAAATGTTTTGGTATCAATTTTTTAAAATTCATTCTCCCTACAACTTATTTCAACAAATTCATTGCTCTGTAGCTAATGGTACCCATAATTCATTAGTAGAGCATGGACAGCATTCAGATACCTGTACTTTTATAGCAGCAAACTGCTTAGGTTATATTTTTCTCCTTTAAAACATACCTTCCAAACTTTGTTTACCCTATGTTTTCCACCAGCCTTACCAGCAAAACTCCTGAAATGGTGAATTAGTCTCAGGCCTGAAGTTACAACAACTGCAGGGGAAAAAAAAAGCCCTAAAGAATCAGTACTTCCATGCTGGAAAACAAGATACCTTTGTAAAAATAAAGCAAATAAAAGCAACCTAACCTGAAGAAAGCTAAACTCCCCCTGGTGTCACAGGGGGCAAAATCGCCACTCAAGGCTCTGGTACACAGATCACCTACGAATCCTGGTCTCTGACTCGTCAGCACCAGCAGACGTGGACTGACAATTTTCTGCTAAACAACATCTATAGCAGGTCATTGTTACTTGGGTATCTAAATCAGTAAGAAATGGCGCTGCCAGCATGCCTAAAACGGTATTCCCTGTTCCCAAGACATGCTGCGATTAGCTGAGCCCAAGCCTTTCAGCTGAAATAGAGTTCCCTATATCGAGTTTTTCCATCTGTCCGCAACTTTCCAAATCAATGCTTGACGAAAAAGCTAGAGACCAGGGCAGAGAGTACTAGTACTGAGACTCTGAAATTAATTGATTGAATGGTCTGACCTTGCCCAGGGCAGAGTTTGGTCCTCAACTGACAAGGGTTTAACACCCACTGTGCTCCAACAGAAGGAAGAGCCTGAAGAAAACATCCATAGCAACGGAGAGCAGCAGTTGGCACTTCTAGAGCAGTCCCCCTTTACTAGGAAAACATTAAACATTGCTGAATATTAGGCTTAAGCCTAGCCTTTGGGCCAGCAGCTTGGTGAAACCCTTTTTCTTCCACACTCTCAACATTGGCCATAGCTGCACTGCCACAAGCAACACAGGTTCAAGACAACTTCAAGCTTGATAACCAGCCTGGCCTTTGGTTATGTTGTAATACTGGACACGCATCCGAGGGCATCTAAGCATCCATGTCACTCCCTGGTACGAAGAGGACATTTTGCAAGCACACCTCCACTGTAGCCAAGGCCAAAGCAGCCTCCCACCTGCCCATCTGTACAACCTTGTGCTCCTCTCACCCAGAGCTTGCCACAACCCTTTTTCCCTACCTCGGGCAGAGAAAAGAACGATAATAAATATTTAGAAAACCACAGTAAATTCCTGAGATGCAGTATGTCTCCCAGCTTCACTGAAAGCTTCAGGGGCACCAATAAAAACCTGGGCAGATGGCAATACACTGTTATTTGGATTTTGGATAGATATTCCCTGAGCAACAGCAAATTTATGCAATTTCCACCTAGGCTAGAGTTTGAGCAACTCTGTTTTACAAACAAGAGTAGTATCCAGCAAAGTAGTAATCTCCCAGGTTCAGAGAGTTCCTGCTTGGTGATTCATAAAGCAATTACATCTATCTTAAAAAGGTTTTATACACTGTTTACTTTTTAAACTTTTATTGTCTTTGTTAATTAACTCACATTAAATGCAGGCATGACCACTTAGTCTGGGGACAAAGCAATTGAAAGTCAACAATTTGCTACAGATGAAAAATAATTTAGTTCAACACAGGAACACTTTCACTCAAAAGTTACAATCAGGTCCTGATTTCTATTACTGGAATTTAGTCCATCATCAGGAATTTTAGGCAATTTCTGATAAAAGATTATAACGATTTCAAACTCAAAGTTACATTTTGTTCAAAGATTATTTGCTACACAACCACCTTAACCTGCTTGCTTTTTTTGTTTGTTTTGGTGTTAGGTTTCAAGGGCCACTTGCACTATGCATTTTGTGGTTTTCTGCATGATACACAGACACAATACACTAATTTCCAATTAGGATGCTGATGTTCCAGACAAATATGATTCAGGTCTTACTTAATTTAGCCAAGTAGCCTGCTTGCCTTTCCAGCAACTAATTAAACCCTAAACTTAGACTAAGCAATATTCAACAAAAGTCTGTGAAAAGAAAGAAAAGGAAAAAAAAAAATAAAAAACCCAAACACCACCAACTATGGGTCCCTCTTTTTCAGAATGGATCCACACAGCACTAGACAGAACCAGCCTGGAAGCTGTTTGATTATTAAGCCAAGTCAGCCAATAAAAATTCCGTTTAGCAACTTTATATGGACATCCTAAATAGTGCACAGATAAAGGCAAAGGAATGCTGACTGTCAAAAGCTGCACACAGAAGGAGGGGGAGGGAAGAAAAAAAAAAAGAAAGCATTTAACCTCCCATATCGAAGCTCATGC